TAAACAAAGACAGATGATAGATTAGGATATTTAAACCTGTACCCTAAACCTAAGGGTGTGATACGGTTGTAATAATGGCGTAACACGGGTGTAATAACAGTGTAATATGGGTGTATTGAAGAAAACAACAGTCAACGGTCCAAAATGTGTTCATATGAATGCACATTTACAGGTTAACCATAGAGCACAGACCAAGAAGCCTTCAGAGGTATTAGTCTGTTCCTCTAGAGAGAAAATGTTGGCCTTTTTTTACGTCCACAATATCCATAATCCAAAATACCTCCCTAAATTCATACATAGGCTTTTCTAATGATCAGGTACGTCTGGTTTGTTTTCATAGAAAGCGCCAGGTAAAGTTTTTGCTTCCTTCAAAACAGGCTGGGAGTGACTGCAGTGCGTCTCCTGCATCCATCAGTTATTTTGTTAAAAAGATGTCGTAAATGTTCACGGACCATTGTGAGGCCAACCTTTACCACTGACTGTGTGGACGTCTGGCATTTCTTAAAGGCGGTTAAGTTCCTACACCTCCAAATTCCTTCTTTCAAGCAATTAATTACAGCCCACCATCGTTGATGTCTTTCAGGATCCTTGGGGTGTAAATCACCATAAAGTCAATCTTGCTCATTGGGTCCCCTATAAAGACCAGTTAACCATGGCTGTGGCGGCTCAATTCTCAGTTCAGTTTGAGTCGCCGAGAGGCTAAGCTTGGCTATAAACTGTGACACGTTTACAAATAGAAAGTCAATACTGAAGCAAGATAGTTTTACGAAATGTAATAAACAAAATCCAAAAGCAGTAACTATGGACAAAACGGTCAACAGAAAAAATGACAGCACAAGCTCACCCTCTGTCATCCGCACTCGACATGAAACAGGTGACTTATATAGACAAACCACACCCATGTGACAATTACCGGAAGTGCTCAACAAACAAATAAAAGTGACGTAAACAAATAATAATAATACAAATAATGAACTTGGGCTAAGTAGCATTATGGCACCTACAATGGCCTCAGTGTCCCCCACACCCTTTTCGCACATGAACAATACCAAAAAAGATGAGCCACATTTTCCTCGGAACTACAACTTAATATGGGGCATTGTGCACTCTGTGAACATCAAAGCGTACAGGAACGCTTTCGTAGGGAGACAACTATCTGCTGTTTTCCATACTTGCAGGCATTTTTGTTCTGGTAATGTCCCTATTGGTGTTAAGGCCCGGACACACCAAGCCGATTTTGGCCGATTCAACATGTCGAATCGGTGGGCAGTCGGCCAAAGGCTGTCGGCAAAAGAAATCACTCTGATTGGCTGTTCAGCTCGAATCAGTGCATGAGAAGCGAAACGGAAGTGAGGGACCCAAACAAACTATTAAGAAGGCAAATCTGAGATTTCATTTAACTCCAGCTCTCGACACAGGTTGGGGAAAGCCCCATGAGCTTCTGGCTGTAGAGTGATAATGGAACGCACACGCTATTTGTTGTTTGTTTATATCACGCAGTCTGTTCTTCTTCTCTCGGTGTATCACGCAGTCTGTCTTCCGGTTGTTGCCTCTTTTGAATGACGAATACACACTACCGCCGCCTGCTGGTAAGGAGAGTTATTGCCACTCACGCATGCGCAGTTCGTACGTGCTTCTTGGCCGTTGGCTGAAGTCTTTGCGGTGTGTTCCAGTGCGACACATGGCCAAGACGCAGAGACGCGAGGCGACACAACAGTCGGGGTCCGTCTGTGTCAGTTCTTTGGTGTCAGCTTGGTGTGTCCGGGCCTTTAGGCTTGTAGTCAGAGGTGAGAGGCTTTTTTCAACACAACTTCTGTTCAAAAAGCCTACGGAAGATTTGTCTAAGACAGCTCTGCCATACGATGCTGGCCTAGTCTCTGCATGGGGGATGTTCAGAGGGGCTCTTTTGTCTATACCAGAAATACACTTTTGGCCCACCCAAAATGTTGCAAAGTGTGTCCAGAGGCTATTGTTCCTTTCAGATAACACAGCATTTAGAATCGGTGTTAAGAAAATTGATCCGATGAAACCCCCCGGGGTCTAGACACTGGTGGTGGTGAATGGATGGTTGGGGTCGGTCTGAGGGGGAGTGGCTTAGCTTGACCCTGGTGGTGGTGAATGGATGGTTGGGGTCGGTCTGAAGGGGAGTGGCTTAGCTTGACCCTGGTGGTGGTGAATGGATGGTTGGGGTCGGTCTGAAGGGGAGTGGCTTAGCTTGACCCTGGTGGTGGTGAATGGATGGTTGGGGTCGGTCTGAAGGGGAGGGGCTTAGCTTGACCCTGGTGGTGGTGAATGGATAGTGGGGTCGGTCTGAAGGGGAGGGGCTTAGCTTGACCCTGGTGGTGGTGAATGGATAGTTGGGTTTGGTCTGAAGGGGAGTGGCTTAGCTTGACCCTGGATTCAGAGGGACAGGAGGTGAAAAGGGGTGGAGGAGGGTTGTGTCGAGTCACCTGAAATGACAGCTGTCGGAGGGGAGAGCAGATTTAAAAGGGTTAGAGGAGCGCTGTGATAGGCTTGTGAGAATAGAGCGAAGTGATTGGTTAAACTGGGGAGTGTCGCCCCCGATCACTTATTGAGAGGAGAGAGAGTATAGAGTGGCGAAGTCCCTCCCCTTCCGGTGTACCTCCATGGGACCTTATTTCGGAAAAAATATGTATTGAAGTCAATGGAGAGAGAAAGAGAGAAAGATTATCTTTCGATCCCGTTTGAATTGTGCCACGAATTACACATATGATGTTTGTCAATTTAAAAGATAATTTTGCAAGTAAAAAAAAAAATATGTCGTAAAACTGTGAAGTAACACATTTGTTTGTGTGAAACGCTCAATGAACTACATCTCTTGGACAACAACACACGTCACCAAGATGGCCGTCACTACTGTCTTGTCAAAAAAGGGATTGACTACCCTCACTATCACCACAATGAAACACGTCCAGAAGAATGTCATGCAAAGCTGCCTGCCTGCCTTCCTTTGATTCTCTCTGAACTGCCTGATCTTTTTAATGTTTAATGCCAACCATTTGTGCAGATAGCATGAAGTAGAAAAGATTGCTGATGCTAATGTAGCGTTAGCATTAGCATTTCTCTCCCGGGCTTAAATGGTGTATTATAGAATGATCACACCGGTGTGACAGTACTCTTCAAAGGGTTCACGAAATATGACTACTACTCTTACGGCCCGTCCACACAGCAGCGTTAAAAAAATCTTCCAACGCTTCTGCCCATTCACTTTGAATGGGGTGACGTCACTTTGCCTCACTTTTTGCCGAACTGCATTGTGGGAAGCAGAGCGGAGATTTCCAGGCTTCTCAGGATTCAAAAGTTGAGCAATGTTCAACTTTTGAAGCTGAGGTGGAAGCATCAGCCTATCAAATCCCGTTTATGCAAATCTGACAGTTCAAGCGCTAGCCAATCAAACGGCGTGTATGCTGGGAGAGCCATACCGCAGGTCATTTCCTCATATTCCAAAAAATGGAGGAGAAATTAGCGGTAGGGAATCACCCGGTGTTTTATGACCAGTCCCTATTTACCTACCGGGATACAAACCGGAGGAGCCAGGCATGGAGGGAGGTGGCAGAGACAGTGGTAGGTTTTCGCCTGTTTGGGGAGTTTATATCCAGTTTACTTCGGGCTTTTTTGCTTTGTATGTCGGGGGCGGGAGATTCATGTGATTGGTTGTTGGTCGCGTTGCTCGCAAAAAATCCCCAAGCTTCAGATACGCCCACCTCCAAGATTTTTTTAACGCTGCTGTGTGGACGCTCCGTTACTGTTTAACATTTTGGGTTACTTAATGTTACTTCATGTTAAGGCTAATAAAAATGACAAGGCTAAGCCGGCTGTAATGCTAACTAACGTGCTTGCTACTAGCTAGGTAGCTAACTTGATCCAGCCACTCCTGGTCCTTTCATCAGACGGGAAGCGAAAGAACGAGCAAGACCCATTGCTGGTATGATAACAACCTGGTACTAAGCACACAGGCATCTTGTTAAAGTTATCTTATCTTAGCTATCTCTATTTTAGTGGAGGAAAACAATTGTGACATCAGTTATGAGTGACATCACTTACGCGACTCTGGGATTTGTAGTCTTTCTAGTTGCGTATTTTTCATAGTCTTATATTTCAACAGTTTTACGACAAACTGTGACTTTTTTGACATGGAAATGATTTTTTAAGATTGACAAACATCATATGTGTAATTCATGGCACAATTCAAACGGGATCGAAAGATACGTTTTCTCTCTCCATTGACTTCAATGCATAATTTTTCCGAAATAAGGTCACATGGACCGGAAGTAGATGGGCGTGACTTCGCCACTATGGAAATAGTAAATGAATGAGTAAAGAAGGTCTTCCTGGTTGAACTTGCGCTGAGCTTCATATCTACTTTGTCCTCTATCTCACTCTTGGATCTATTAATCTTAGCGCCTGATGCAAGTTCACACCACTCTAGAGCTTTTATAATTGAAATAATAACAGATCCTGTTTCAAACTGCTGTCTGTTTATCCTTTCTGAATTAGGAAGAGCAAACATAAAGTTTCTCACACCGTCCACCTTTGGGAATATTAATCCAGAACATAGCTTTGTTCTTTGTACTGCTTCAGTAGATTATCTCAAACCTGTAACACAAAAACACACACAAGCAAATATAAATATGTCTTTGTTTATTCCAATCAGGAATCAGACATGTTGTAATGAGGGGGGGGGGGGGGGGGGGCGTGGAATGATCAACTGACAATTATGTAAACAAAAGATACAAAAACAAAAAAATAAGCGAAGTGCTTCCCGGTTCTTAGAAAGGTGAATACATTATTAAAACAAAGGAGGGTGCGCGGATTGATTTCCTGCCCAGCTGCTGCACAGACTGTGGATAAGGCACGCTGTTTGCAGGAGTCATCAGACAGCTTCCTGCAGAACACACACACACACACACACACACACACACACACACACACACACACACACACACACACACACACACACACACACACACACACACACACACACACACACACACACACACACACACACACACACACTACACTCCCACTCCTGCTATTTTTCCAGTTGAAGCAGGTTTTCGGCTCCTCTGCACCGGCAGAATGGCTCTCAACGTCCCGGGTCTCATCGCCACCATCACCTTCTACCTGCTGGTGCTGGGAATCGGAATCTGGGCTTCAATCAAATCAAAACGGGATGAAAGCAGGGTCCGGGCGAACCACGCGGAAATGGCTCTGCTGGGGAACCGGGATATCAGCCTCTGGATGGGGATCTTCACCACCACCGGTCAGTGGCTCTCATCCTTACGAAACGATACGATACGATAATATTTGAATGGTTAGAACAAACAACAAACCTTTAACATAACGGCACAATCAGTGAGAGAAAACCTGCTCAGAGAGCCGTCAGCGTGCATTTGATGGGATTCAGCTCTGTCATCCATGGGGTCTTTTGTGTCTCTGCAGCCCATTGTGTGCCTCTCTCTCTGGGCTGCAGCTGCCTGATTCACTGGGGCTGCTATACAGTATAGTGTATTTTACTGGGTATTTTGTGAGGCTGGTTGCATTTCTTTAATATACTTCCCTTGCTGGCTGTCTCTTTGTGTACATGATGTTCCCATGTGTGTGTGCTGCAGCTCCCTGATATTCCTGTTGTATTCTCTTTGCTTTTAAATGAGTGTTTTTAAATGCCATCTTTGAATTGCCTTGTGTTGAAAGGTGCTATATAAATAAACTTGTTCTAATGTGTTGGATACATGTTGGATAACTTGGGTATACTAATAATCCAAAGAGGGATGGGTCATGTTAATGAGCATGCAGACACCGATCAGGAAAATGCATTAATGTCTCTGCTCTCTTTAAACACACAAAAGGACTCCATAAATGTCTAATACTTGATTTACTGTACAAAATTAACTCGTTAACGTTGTGTTAGATTCTGGTGTATTATTGAGTTGAATTAATAATAATATTTGTAATAGTATGACATGTAATATTATTATTAATAATATAAATGATGATGTATTTTTGAATAAGCATAATAACATTGATTATTTGTATATAAAATGTCTGTATGCCTTAAAACCAGAGTTACAGTGTCAGGTGTTTTACAGAATACAACCTGATACAGTTTGAGATACAAAAGAAAATCATAACTAATTTCATAACGACAGATCTTAAGAAGTGCTGACACTAAACACAGAGATACAACTAAATAAAAAGCAAATAGGGGTTCTTCTTTTATAGACATTATTTTCACGTTGATAATAATGAAGATCTCCTCGTGCACCTTTTGTGTAGGGCGACACATGCTGGTGAGGAACTGGTAATTATTCTCACGTTTTAAAGTAACACAACAGAACAACTCTGAAATGAGAAACAACACACAGCTGTGATCACGCTCTTTATTCACAACACAGACATGTTCTGTACTCTAAGGACATTTACAAGGATTACTCTCTGTCAATATTTGTATTTTATTTTCAGGTGAGACAATACAACAAAACATAATAAAAACCCACTAAACAATAACAACAAACAACGACAAAAACAGACAGACGGCAACAGTAGCAACCTATCACTCACACACCACAAGAACTCTAAATCTTGCCCAGTATCTGTGTCGAACATCTAGTCAGAATATGTCTCTACTCCTGATATAAGACATAATAACTTCAGAAGTAACACTGCAGTGAGATATAGGGTCTTGTTTTTAGACAACGCATCATCTTGTTAAGTCAAAACATCTGATTTTGAGTTGTGTCTCAGATGAAACACATATCTTTGTACATATTTATTAGAAAATCACCAACTAACATCAGAAAACACATTTGAGCATTTGCTGCTTATTTTGTAACACAGCATCTCCTGATTCTGGTGAGATATAGTTCAAAATGAGTTCTCCAGCTAATTACAAGATCTGATTTATCTAAACATCCCTTCTTATTTCAAGAGATCTCACCAAGCAAATGTTCACTTGTTCTATTGGCAGATGTTTGTATTTATTTCAAGTGAAAACACCTTGTTTTCATTATTGTTTAACTTGTTTTTGGAGCAGCATTTTCTCCTGTGCACTTATCATGCTATATGTACGCCCACAGTTATAACCCTATAACCCATTCTTCCTTCATGTACGGTGCTATTGGGGACCAGTCTCTAACAAATTCATCCAAAGTTCCTCGCAGCACGTGTGACCTTTTAACCCATATACTATAACTTTGTCCTCGGATCAGATTTAAACTACAAACATAGACATAGGCTTATTATTGGTGTTGCTCTGTGTGCAGCAGGACTCACAATCCTCCAGAAATGGTTGGATGAAGACCCGCCTAATCGTTTGTTATGGTTTCAAAAAACGGATGTGAATCCTGCCATTGGAGCGGCTGTCACACAGCGAGGAACTCTGGAGGAGCTGGTGAGAGACTGGTCCCCGATTGCAAGGATTACTAAAATAATAATGTGTGTGTGTGTGTGTGTGTGTGTGTGTGTGTGTGTGTGTGTGTGTGTGTGTGTGTGTGTGTGTGTGTGTGTGTGTGTGTGTGTGTGTGTGTGTGTGTGTGTGTGTGTGTGTGTGTGTGTGTGTGTGTGTGTGTGTGTGTGTGTGTGCGCAGCTACCTGGGTGGGCGGGACGTTCATCATCGGCACAGCGGAGACGGTCTACGATCCAAAGCAGGGGCTCATCTGGGCCGTGATGCCTCTGTCGGCATCGGTGGCTTTCATTCTTGGTTAGTGTCTTCACTTCAACGTTTCTTACACTTTAAAGAGTTCCTATTCGACTTGTATTCAGACAAAAGTTAGTCACTGTTTTAATACATCTTGTAAAACCGTATCTTGCAGACTTTCTACTAAAGTATTAGTCCCTATTCTGCTGTTTGCTCCCTTCCCTGTAGTGTGCTGTAGGTTTGTGTGCATGTAAATGGTCTGAAAAGGCTAAAATCCCTGTTTCTCCTCCACAGGGAGTTTCTTTCTTAAAACTGTTGCTACAAAGTTTATTTAGGTTTGGATAAATTCTATAATAACTGACGCTGAAAGAGATATTTATTTATCTTGGATACATTATGCCTGCTCTTAAGACAAATCGCTTTTCAAAATCATTCATCCCCTCTGCACTCAAACTTTTAAAATCTTGATAGGTTTTTTGACTTGATTATTTATTTACTTATTTATTATGATGCTATGAACTATTTATGGTTTACATTGGAATGATCCACATCCAGGCTTTCTTCCTGTTTGTTCCTGCCTGTGTTCATGACATAAGATGCTCATAACCAATTGCCCCTTGTGGGATTAATAAAGTTGTTGATTGATTGATTGATTGATTGATTGATAAGGTACATATAACTCAAACAAGCCAAACGTTAAGAAGTGCTGGTCAGACCCAAAATAAGACCAAATGCACTGAAATATCTTCCACTTTGTCTGAATTTCTCCAACTCCATCAATCACACACACACTCACTGCATATAGTAATATAATTCCCTCGAAGCACAGGTAGACACAAAGCTTTGTTTTTACGGGTTTATCTGAATCTTCGGTCTTCAAATCCACCATGAAATCTCCTTGGCTAAGTCTTCTTGTTTCCTTATAACCATTACACTTATTTGACCTGCATTACCGGAGCAATAAAGTGTCCGTGATTTGCTGATTTCTTGGTGCTGTTCCCTTTACTCTAGCCAGGGTTGCGCAACATGATCAATATCTCTTCAAAATCGACTCTATTGTTCCTTAATAATCCTCACTGTGTCATATCCTGCCTTAACATCCCATTTCAAAAGGTGAATCCATAACGTTTAAAGACCAAACGTAGCTTTTAAAGGATCCTCGAATCCTCCAAAGCTGATGACTTTATATTTGTTCGTTTGAAAGACTGCATGAACGCAGAGAAATGTTATAATATATGAAAGATTGAACATATGTACCGGTGCCGGGGAATCTCATCTGTAACTCTGCTATACTTTTTATTACCAAGGCGGTCTTTTCTTCGCCGAGCCGATGAGGGACAGGAAGTACGTGACCATGATGGATCCTTTCCAGATTAAATACGGAAACACGCTGAGTGGACTTCTGTCTGTCGCTCCTCTGATGTCCGAAATCATCTGGGTCACATCGACGCTGATAAGCCTGGGTAACAATTCATCAAACTACATCTGTATATTGTTTTGTTTATACTGTAGTCAAATCTTTCAGTTTGTGTGTACCTCCCTCCCTACCTCCCTACCTCCCTACCTACCTACCTACCTACCTACCTACCTACCTACCTCCCTACCTACCTACCTACCTCCCTACCCTCCTCCCTCCCTACCCCCTACCTACCCTACCTACTACCTACCTACCTACCACCTACCTACCTCCCTCCCTACCTCCCTCCCTACCAACCTACCTACCTACCTCCCTACCTACCTACCTACCTACCTACCTACCTCCCTCCCTCCCTCCCTACCTACCTACCTCCCTCCCTACCTACCTACCTACCTATATATCTTTCTAGATGCATAGAACGTGTGTGCGTTCTCAGGCCTGATTGTGCCTACAATATGTCTGTTGGTTTTTTCGCAAAGATGGCAAAAGTACAACACCATCTTTCCTCAAGTATAAGTAAGATACTCGTGTTTAAAAATACTCTGGTGAAGTAGAAGTAACTGATTAAACTTCTTTACTCAAGTGAAAGTAAAGAGGGCTTTGAAATGTACTTCAGTAAAAAGTACCCATAACTAGCAGCTGTTTTAAAGAGTACCTGACCTCCCTTTATATTAATAGAACAATAATGTCATTGTTAGCTAATGAATGTTTCCATGCTGAACAACGGCAACATGACAACGTTTTCATTGGTCCCTCTTCTTTAGAGAAGACCAGGAAATGATGGATACACGGATCGTGTTCAAATCAATAGGCACGCAATGACTCTAAATAATAATGATCACGCCACCAAACACACATTCAAACTAAAGGAACCAGCCTGTTTGGGAAATGTGAGAAGTAGAAAGTACAGGTATTTGTGTTCAACATGTAAGAAGTAGAAAGTACAGGTATTTGAGTTCAACATGTAAGAAGTCAAAGTAAAAAGTCCTCAGAAAAATAATTAGTGGAGTAAAGTACTGATACCAGAAAAATGTACTTAAGTACAGGAACAAAGTATTTGTACTCCACTACTTCCCACCTCTGAATATCAGTGTATACAGTGTGTGTGAGATACTAAAGTGTGTGTGTATTTTCCAGGTGTCACCATGAGTGTGATCCTGGATTTGTCGTACGCTGTGTGCATCTGGATCTCTGCGGCCGTGGCCATCACCTACACCCTGATGGGGGGATTATACTCTGTGGCGTACACCGACGTTATTCAACTCACTCTCATTTTTGTCACCTCGGTAAATTGGTCACTGAGTTAGTCTGGATTCACACAAAACTAATTTGGTCAAACACATCTGGGTTTATCTGGATTCACACAAAAGTCCTGTTATCTCTGTAGTTTGATTTGTATTTCCCAATCATCAAAACAAAAGACGTCCCCATCTGTCTCCTCTAAGTACAATACTAAACTCGGGTGCTTTACAAACAATAGTCAGGTTTCTGAATGGATGTACAAAGAGAGGAGGGACCCCCTTAAATCCTTTAGGAGTTGCTCGGTGGTGCATGAAGCAACAATGGCCATCCTGTCGAGAACAAAAGTACCCGTATGTGGCCCCATAGAAGGGATTCACTTGCTTAAGCCCCGCCTCCAATCCCCCCGCTCTCCTCTCAGTCAAATATATGGAGAGAGAAAATGACTCTGGATTCGGCTTTTAGCACATTTTACAACTTTGAGACCTTAATGATTCCTATAGGGGCTTGAAAAGTGTTCCAGGAGTTGATTTAGCTAAATATATCCTCTGATTTAAGGACGTGTCTTTCCCGGTGTAAGTCAATGGGGCAAATTGTAGTCTGATGATAGTCAGAAGGTACGAAAGAGGATAAGGGGCACATGTGCATTTTTTATTTTTAGATATGACCAGAAGCGATTTTTTTTAATTAGTTCTGAGAAAAAGTCTAAATTACTCAAATAAAATGTAGCAAAAAGTGACTGAAATGGAGTTCTGAGGAAAAAGTGAGAATAAAAATAAATTCGGAATTTCATTTTTACTGTCCAGTTGACTGAATGTAAACCATCTCTTCTTCTTCTTCTTCTTCTGTGGTGTTCCTCTCTCTCTCTCTCAGTGGCTATGCGTCCCCTTCATCCTGTATATTGTATTTTATTGTCCAGTTGATTGAATGTAAACCAGCTCTTCTTCTGTGGTGTTCCTCTCTCTCCTCAGTGGCTGTGCGTCCCCTTCATCCTCACCAGTCCCTCCTCTGTTCCCATCACCTCCACCTCCTTCAACCACACCTTCCAGGCCCCATGGGTCGGCACGCTGACCGCAGACAAAGCCTGGAGGTGGATCGATATCTTTCTACTTTTGGTAAGGTAATGGATTTAATGCATGGAGACAAAGGGAGCTCGACAAGTGAGACGTGCAACAGTGAAATATAGATGAGCTTAAAGGTAAGAGTAGCATGACCTAGTTGTGAAATGTAACTAAGAAAATGCTTTCAAGAACTACATCTAAGTCAAATTCACTTGAGTATTTCCATCTGATGCTAGTTAATAATGCTTATACTTTAATATTGTCTTCCACTATAGAGTTAAGTTTTAATACTAGTTGAACGTAACATTTTGACATTTGAATGTGTTTTTATATGTCTCTAGTTATTGTGCTATCATGTTTTTAATTTTTGTTTTACTCCTATTGTGTTATTTTATATGTGTTCCCAGTACAGCACTGTAGTCAACTGAGGTTGTTTTAAATGTGCTATATATATAAATAAACATTGAGATTGAGTTAAGGGTCAGAGTTACGGTTATTGTTGCCATGATGAATCCTTCCATATGCTTATTTGTCTGTCGTATGAAGAGTATCGGAGACCTCGGTTTCCAGGACTTCCACCAGAGGACGTTATCGGCCTCTTCCTCCACCACGGCTAAGCTGAGATGCTACGCTGCGGCTTTTCTCATTCCCACGTTTGGAATTCCTCCAGTGATCATCGGGGCAGTGGCTGCATCTACAGGTAATCTAGTTGTGTTTAATAACTTTCAACTTAAAATCAGACATGGCAAAAGTACACACAACCTGTACTCAAGAAGTACAGATACTCATGTTTAAAAATACTCTGGTGAAAGTAGAAGTACTGATTAAACTTCTTTACTCAAGTCAAAGTAAAGAGGCTTTGAAATGTACTTCAGTAAAAAGTACCCATAACTAGCAGCTGTTTTAAAGAGTACCTGACCTCCCTTTATATTAATAGAACAATAATGTCATTGTTAGCTAATGAATGTTTCCATGCTGAACAACGGCAACATGACAACGTTTTCATTGGTCCCTCTTCTTTAGAGAAGACCAGGAAATGATGGATACACGGATCGTGTTCAAATCAATAGGCACGCGATGACTCTAAATAATAATGATCACGCCACCAAACACACATTCAAACTAAAGGAACCAGCCTGTTTGGGAAATGAGAGAAGTAGAAAGTACAGGTATTTGAGTTCAACATGTAAGAAGTAGAAAGTACAGGTATTTGTGTTCAACATGTAAGAAGTAGAAAGTACAGGTATTTGTGTTCAACATGTAAGAAGTAGAAAGTACAGGTATTTGTGTTCAAATGTAAGAAGTAGAAAGTACAGGTATTTGTGTTCAACATGTAAGAAGTAGAAAGTACAGGTATTTGTGTTCAACATGTAAGAAGTAGAAAGTACAGGTATTTGGGTTCAACATGTAAGAAGTAGAAAGTACAGGTATTTGTGTTCAACATGTAAGAAGTAGAAAGTACAGGTATTTGTGTTCAACATGTAAGAAGTAGAAAGTACAGGTATTTGTGTTCAAAATGTAAGAAGTCAAAGTAAAAAGTCGTCAGAAAAATAAGTAGTGGAGTAAAGTACTGATAACAGAAAAAAGTACTTCAGTACAGTAACGAAGTATTTGAACTCCACTACTTCCTGCGATTATGTGGCCTTTTTTTAATAAAAGCTAAATACTGTCTCTAATGGTTCTGTTTCCCCAGACTGGAACCAGACTTCCTACGGTTTTCCGCCTCCCTTTGAACGAGGTCAGACTGGTTTGATTTTACCGCTCTCCCTGCAGTACCTCACTCCTCCGTACATCTCCGTCATCGGCATCGGAGCCGTAGCGGCCGCCGTGATGTCATCAACTGACTCCGCCCTCCTTTCTGCGGCCTCCATCTTCTCCTCCAATATCTACTCCAAGATCCTGAGGACACAGGTAATAAGCTAGTGAATTGACTAGTCTGATTGTATAGAAGTAACAATAACACACTCAATATTTCACAGAACCGCTTTAAAACACTCTTTAAACATGTTATGTTACAGTTTGGCTCGATTTGCTATGTTTTTGTACTATTCTACATACCTGATAAAAGGGGGGAATTATGACAAGAGTTAACGTTAGGTTTCACTTGCCGGAACTTTACTCGAGTGAGGAAAGTGCTGCGAAACCCCCCAAGTGTGCGGAGACAAAAGCAATCGATCTCCGGCTCCCAGATCAAGGCCATCTAGTCGATCACAGTTCAACAGATCACACGTCTCCAAAACTAACACAAATAAGCACAGACAGAATACCTTCTCATCCTTTCCAAACATCCTACAATTCAACTATATTACCATTTATATATAATCATTTTCCCCTTAACAAATGCTTTAACAACGAGCAATGAACTTTCTCTCCGGTTACTAGTAGCAGGCTATCAATTCACCATACCCACCTGTCACAACTACTGTCTGAGTGTATAGAAGTCTACAAGAAAATGACCCTGTACATCTCACTTGATGTATTACTTCAGGAGGCTTTGCTGACTAATTCTAGACTAATGGAGTGGGGCAGGAATGAGTCCTAAATCCCAGATATAAGTTAGCATTTTCCACTTCCTGTTCCCTCGTCTTGAAGTCAATGGTTTCCTGAATGTGTATTTGGTTGTGATCCTGAAATAAGGTCTGTGGTTAATACAAGCTGAAGAGATTTTAACGTTTTGTCCTACGACATAAAATACGTCAGTAAATCCCCACTGGTGGATTTAAAAACAGAGGTTGCTAACAAGTGTCTAAATGAGACGACTAAACGTCATCACGCCCAACATTAGCCTCCTTTAGCTTAGCGGTGGTGACGTGAAGTCATGTGACCGTGCTGTAGTTCATTTATAGCCCAACATTAGCCACCTTTAGCTTAGCGGTGGTGACGTGTAGTCATGTGACCGTGCTGTAGTTCCTTTATAGCCCAACATTAGCCTCCTTTAGCTTAGCGGTGGTGACGTGAAGTCATGTGACCGTGCTGTAGTTCCTTTATAGCCCAACATTAGCCACCTTTAGCTTAGCGGTGGTGACGTGAAGTCATGTGACCGTGCTGTAGTTCCTTTATAGCCCAACATTAGCCACCTTTAGCTTAGCGATGTTGACAGGAAGTCATGTGACTGTGCTGTAGTTCCTTTATAGCCCAACATTAGCCACCTTTAGCTTAGCGATGGTGACAGGAAGTCATGTGACCGTGCTGTAGTTCCTTTATAGCCCAACATTAGCCACCTTTAGCTTAGCGATGGTGACAGGAAGTCATGTGACCAGTATACAGTTTATGGTTTTGTTGTTAGGTGGGACAATGAAGGAATCTTGTGAAACTAGGAAGCAAAAGAGAGAGGTTAGCACAGACATATCAACATTTTTCTTATTTCTTTTCTGTTTTTTCCTCATTGTAGGCGTCAGAAAACGAGATCCGGTGGGTGATTCGTATTTCGGTGGTTTTATTCGGGCTTGCCGGCACATCGCTCACCTTCCTGCACACGGGTGTCATGGCGTTCTGGATCCTAGGCGGAGAAATCGCCTACATCTTGATGTTTCCACAGCTGGTCTGTGTGCTTTTCTTCAACATATCCAACGGCTACGGAGCCACTGTTGGCTTCCTGGGATCGTTTATTTTAAAACTCCTGAGTGGAGAGCCTTTGCTAGGAATACCTCCTGCCATTCATTTCCCAGGATGCACCTTGGAGGACGGTGTTTACGTCCAGTATTCCCCCATCAGGACCATCTGTATGCTGGTTGCTTTTGCCTTAATATTGCTGGTGTCCTACCTGACTTCTGTGCTCTTCAACAAAGGACTAATACCTCAGAAGTGGGACATTTTTCAAGTTAAGGGTCCAACCCAAATCCCAACAAATGTTGCTACCACTAATGGAAACCACAACTCAGTACCGCCGTGTGAGAATGGAGACGTCTCAGATCCTATGCTGGAATCAAAATTATGAAATTAGCCAAATTAGCTGTTTTTGAAACCGGACACTAAAAAACTGTATTACCTCACTTAAAAACACAAATATACCTCATCATCTTGTAAGGGTTACTCGTTATGTGTACTGGAGGGTATGCACACATTTTTCTGTTTTGTTTTTGCTTCATTAAACGTCTTTGACACCGTTACATTTTCCCACAATACTCCCTTCACTGGTTGGGGATTACCAGCAGGGATACAGGGAGACAATACATCGACAAACAATATTACGAAGCATAGGCTTTGGGTGCTCTTAATCCATGTACTGTATGAACTACAAAAGAGCATATAGTGTTTGTTGGAAAAGGATCACATTTTATTTCTGTTTTTTAAACTGTAATATGTGCTCATGTGTTTCATTGTTGTTGTATAGGGTCCGCTGCTCATGAAACGCAGGTTTTTGAAAAACATCTAACTGATAGTTCTCGTATTTATTTGATTGCATTTCATATTGAGGTAATCCCAAAGTAATGAGGTTACATTACTTTTATATTGTGAGACTCAGATTAGGTTACTGAGGTTACTCGTTTGTGTTCCTTAAGTTTGTTTTGTAAATACTTTTGGTATCCAGTGTTATGAATGATTGTAAATGAGAGAGATGCAGCTGAAGACAGAGAGACTTTTCTCCGTCTCAGTTGAACCTCTTTTTAGGCGGTGTTACAACCACTTCTAAATCCATACTGCACTGGAGCTAAATTTAATATGAATTTCCCTCCATCCCAAAATAGACATTGCCCCACATTTCCTGCCTGAATCCCTCCTCCAACCAGCCTTTTGGCCCTTGTCACTTCCTGCCTGAATCCTTGCAGCAGAGTTTTGGATGAGCTGGAAGCGGAGAGGGATTCTCACTAATACCAAGGAGGAGTGAATTTCAGTGGTGATGAACATTTTGAGACATCCATTTGTCTCAAATATCAACATGTTCAGATCAGAAGTCTAACCAAGAAGAGCATGGCTTTGACGTAAGTCCAGACCCAAAGATGACTTGATAACTCTAACCCTTCAAAGTTTCCACTGACGATGAGATAAAGAAGTGACGTTTGTGGCCCAACCTGCAGACTGAAGTTTCAGATTGTTAAAAAGCATGCGTTGCTGCTCATACATACGTTGTGTATTCAGAGGGGTCCAGCCTCCCTCCAGGCCGTCACCCAGAGTTTCCCCACCGCAGAAGTCTAACCAAGAAGAGCGTGGCTGTGACGTAAGTCCAAACCCAAAGATTACTTGATAACTCTAACCCTTCAAAGTTTCCACTGACGATGAGATAAAGATGTCATGTTTTCGGTCCACCAATGAGACGCTGTTGCTGAGGGTTGATACAGATCTTAGGAAGAGGTGTCAGTGTTTGCACAACACTCACGAGGAAACAAAGTCTCCTTTCACACCGGGGACACATATCTATGTATCAGTGACGTGCGGTGAGGTTCATGGCTGGTGAGGCACTGACTCTTTCAGAGTCAGATTTACAAATATTATAGCCTATTTTGACCTTAATCGAAATATTCTGTTATTTTCAAAAGCTTTTTTAGTCTGATTCTATGATTAATTTTAAACAGACCGATCAACAAAAGGATACCCAAAATCTAAATATTGGATTGTTCTTTCTAAGTAAGATTCCATTTTCATTACAGTTGTGGTCTTACCTTGACTTGAAGATGAATATAAGTCCATGCTATCCTTCTGGACAACAATCTCTATTACTGTTTTGTAAAAGTCCTCCTTATCTTCCTGTAGTTTCAAAAGTCTAGTTTGTTGTTTGCGGTAGAATAACAGTAGCAACAAGAACCTGTGGGCTCACGTGCGCCCCCTTCAGTGCGGCAGAGGTTATGGCTGCCTCTCCTGGTGCTTTTTTCATTGCCGTTGTATGATGAGACCAGCGAGCCTAAATATCATATATACGTGAAATAAGTTCTTTAGAGACTATGGATGGCGAGGATAAATGTAATAAAGGGATCTACAAACATTACATTGGTGACCTACAGTGAGATGGGAACAGGCATGCGCTTAGGGCCCGCTTTCCAGCCAGTTTCTGTGGGGTGACGCATTCTGAGGTGAGGCAGAGCTCATCTGTGCCTCACCTCACCCCACAGTAAAATGGCTTGAGCGCGCTCACAAAATAAGTGCCCGTGCTAAATTAGTGCCGGCGCTCCAGCAAGTTACTGTGGGTTTACGTGAGGCAGAGCTCGTCCCTGCCTCACTTCTCATCGCTCCCGTAGCGGAGCTCGGCAAATTTGCTGATTTTGACTATAAAATGCGATTGGAATCAAACATAAATTACATTTACACAAGATCAGTGGAGACATTTTATTATTATTATTATTTAGTTTTTCTTTAATTGTTTTTCCGTTACATTGGAGTATGACAGGTGAGGCTCTGCCTCCACTGACTGCACGTCGCTGCTATGTATAAAACACATCAAGAAGTGCATTTTGCATGATAGGTGACCTTTAAAAACATATATATACCTCATCATCTCGTAAAAGGTACTCCTTACGTACTGGAGGGTCTGCACACATTTTGCTGTTTTGTTTTTGCTTCATTAAACGTCTTTGATTGGAGCAAAAGTCCAACTGGTCCTGAGCATCCTTAAGTGTTCCCACAATGCTCCCTTCACTGGTTCACAGTAGCTTCCAGACACTGGGACAGGCCTACAGTTCAGGACTTGGTGAAACCATTGGGATTACCAGCAGGGATACAGGGAGACAATACATCAACACACTATATATTACGAAGCATAGGCTTTGGGTGCTCTTAATCCATGTACTGTATGAACTACAAAAGAGCATATAGTGTTTGTTGGGAAAGGATCAGATTGTATTTCTGTTTTTTAAACTGTAGTATGTGCTCATGTGTTTCACTGTTGGTTTAAAGGCTACTGCCTGCTTCATGAAGGCAGGTTTTCCTATAAATACAATCATTTCTGATCCTAAATGTCTTTGTTTCTTCTTTGCTAAGGTCACATCGTTCTGTTGTCTTACAGAATACACTTCAGTAAAAACATCTTATTTCTTGTATTTATTTGCTTGCATTTCAAGGTTCAAGATTCTTTATTGTCAATCTGACATAGCTACAGAGTAATTATGTAGTTGAAAATCTTATGTCACAGGCTTCTCCAACAATGCAACATAATAACATAATAACAATACAGATAGCAAGAGCAATACAAAAAGAAAAATAGTTATAAAATAAAGTGATGATGTGGAATAGTGCAGTACGAGTCTATATACAAGTTATTGGAATGATATATATTAGATATTAGATACATATTACTGAGTAGCAGAAGAATGTTTTGAATATTGAGGTAATCCCAAAGTAATCAGGTTACATTACTTTTATATTGTGAGACTCAGATGAGGTTACTGAGGTTACTCCTTTGTCTTTGTCTTTGGGATGTGTTCCTTAAGTTTGTTTTGGTATCTAGTGTTATAAATGATTGTATAAAGGGCGAAGCAGCTGAAGACAGAGAGACTTTTCTCCGTCTCAGTTAAGTCTTTTGTTTAGGCGGTGATGCTCTCACAAGGCGGGGAGAGTCAGATCCATGACTATCCTGAAGTTAACAACCACTTCTAGATCAATACTGCACTGGAGCTGAACTTAATATGAGATTCCTTCCATCCATACCTAAACATAAGTGGGTCTAGACTCCCCTCATCACACCAGAGAGCCTCAGGAACAGCCAACAGTTAGTCACAGTTTGAATACATCTTATAAAACCGTTCTTTGAATACCTTTCCACTAAAGGCCCCAAAAGAAACACCATTAAAGGGGTCCTATTCTGCTTGTTGCTCCCTCTCCTGTAGTGTTTTCCATAGATCTCTGTGCATGTAAATGGTCTGCAAAAGCTGACACTAGTAGAAAGGGACATCGTTCATGCACTATTTGATCTGTTCTATTTGTTCTATGTCCTATATATATATTCATGTTGCTCTGTTGGAGGAGCCTGTGTTTTGAGACATCCATTTGTGGATATCCTGGAGGCAGGCAGTTCAAAATAGAAACTGATGTTGTGTTTACGGATGATGTGGTCAAGAGGGAGCATCTAAACAGAAAAGAGAAGTGGACCCAGCACTGATCCTTGGGGTACCACCTCTTTACCCTCTTAGTGCAGCATTTACCAATTTACAGCCAATCATAGAGAGGCTGCCATACAAGGAGCCCACTGCTCAGAGAAACTAACATCCACACATCGGCCATCGGGAGCAGCTTGGGGTTAAGTATCTTGCTCAATTTACATCAGGATCAAACCCCCAACCCTTCCATTGGTAGAACACCTCTCACAGCCCCAGTCCCCCAAACTGGGGTCTGGACCCCCTCAACTCTAACCATCAGATCAATGTCTTCCTGTGCAGCAAACTCAAGATATCAACATGTTCAGATCAGAAGTCTAACCAAGAAGAGCGTGGCTGTGACGTAAGTCCAAACCCAGAGATTACTTGATAACTCTAACTCTTCAAAGTTTCCACTGACGATGAGATAAAGATGTCATGTTTTCGGTCCACGAATGAGACGCTGTTGCTGAGGGTTGATACAGATCTTAGGAAGAGGTGTCAGTGTTTGCACAACACTCACGAGGAAACAAAGTCTCCTTTCACACCGGGGACACATATCTATGTATAAAACACATCAAGAAGTGCATTTTGCATGATAGGTGACCTTTAAAAACATATATATACCTCATCATCTCGTAAAAGGTACTCCTTACGTACTGGAGGGTCTGCACACATTTTGCTGTTTTGTTTTTGCTTCATTAAACGTCTTTGATTCGAGCAAAAGTCCAACTGGTCCTGAGCATCCTTAAAGGATTTCAAAAATAGACAAAGGTCCGTTTATTACGGTCATTCAAACTTTTAAACAATTGCAACAAGATTCTTAACACGAGGTTGCAAAAACAAAAATAATCTGTATGCAGCAGTTTTCATTGTTATTGTGTCTGTGCTTGATCCCTCAGAGTCGCAGTGTAAGAGCTGCACAGTTATGAATAAAGGCAGCTGCACCCTCTTTCATTCAGCATTCCCATTATTGCTTTATAAATGTCTTGCCCCCTTGTGTGTCCACTGAGGTTCGTCAGGCCCGACACATCTTCAACAAACTCCCTCATCATAAAAACTCACAAACACCAGCAACTGAGCATTGTCAGTGGTGTCAGTGGACTCATCCACAGCTAAGGAAATGCACTGTGCATTTTCTATTCCATCACAAAGCTGATTAATCAAATCACCAGCCAGTATGTATGTTCTCCTGGTTGCTGTGGAATCTGAGAGGGGGATTTGCTTGATTTGACCAGTTATTTCCTCTTTTTGTTTGCCTTCAAACATGGTCTCCATCACTTCAGTCATGCATTCTTTTATACTTCAGTTATTATCCAGTGGAAAGCCCTTACCTACTGGCCTAGTTAAATCAAAGTGGTTACTTTTGTTTGGCTGGGCAGTGTAGTTTTACACACCGTCTTATTTGACTTTCTCAGGACTTAAAACTGTTTTTTGGGGGCAGACCCCCACAAAGAAAACAATATATTTACACACGTAAGGTCATCATCTTAACAGTTGTGTATGCTCATCCGTGAGCAGAGCATCAAGTTGTCTATTACAGCTGAATGCGGCGATTACCATTTTGTTCAGCAAAACGCCTCACAAACTGATTAAGATCAACAGCTTTAGTGCGTTTTGATTCAATGCTGAGTACAGCCACACTTGACAGTCTCTTCTCTGTCATTGTAGACCGCACCTCATTCCTTCAGTACTTGGGTCCGAATGCTTCTCGTTTTGCGCAAGCGGCAAACTCTGGGGAAGAGCCGGGACGCCAATGCGGAAGTGCCACAAACTGCAGTTCATATATTGGCCGATAGGCGCTGACTGCAGAAAGGAGCAATTTCCATAGAGCCCCATGTTAAAATGCCCAATTTCACAGCAGAAAAAAACATGTTTCTACCTATGGATCCAATAAATATTATTATGAATATAGTTAGATTCCACCTTCATGATTATGGATCTGTGAGTGAATTGTTTTCTAACATGACCCTTTTATTTATATTAGGTCTTAAAATGTTTGCATAAATTAGGGCGTGGTCACATTGAGTGACAGCTCTGTCAAGTGACTGCTGCTGTTAGCTTCTTGTCTCTCTGCTAGCTGCTCCGTCTCCGTGAAGCTACAGGGACTCTGCCTGATCAGTTCATCCAGGGAACACAACTTGACCCCGGCCGTGTTTGTTTGTTCTTCATGCTTATATATCGGACTATTGTGACTCGCTCTGCGGTTAAAACAGACGGTGCATGAATGCCGTTTTGCGGTAAGTGAAATTCGAGTACTTTATTTATGTGTTTATGATTTCAATCAGCTACGTAATGAATGTTAAGGCTTGGGTTAGCGTGTAAGCGAGTGGTAGCTACATCGGTGCTAACGATGCTAATCGTATCCTCCAAGTTAACTTAAAACCATAGACTG